TGGCTCCGGCTGTTGCCGCGCCCGGGGGTAGCTCACCTGCACGGTAGATGCCGCACGAGTTATTAAAAACAACCCCACAAAAAGTATTCTCGTGACGGGCTACGGTCTCTGTAGAGACCACGCCGAGAACCCGGGAAGCCACAAGTCCATGTTTAACGTACGCATCCCAAAAGGAAAAGCTAACGCGGTAACTCCCCGGGCCACCTCAAGCGGCACCGGGCAACGTAGTTTCAGCTGTCTGTTGTAGCTAAGCTTTAGTAGGCGGAGAAGCGGGGATCATAGAAGCACTGAGAAATGTAAGAAAACCATAATACCTAGGCTTGCATCTGCTTAAATTGTTCTTAACACTTCTACTGTGCTTGCAATTAGCACATAAAGAAGCTTTTACCTAGCGCTCGTTAGCGCAGATGAGATAAGTTCTCTAAATAACTAGAAGTAAAAATTAGTCAGTGGGATGCCGTTAAACATGAGGAACACTCCTGCAGGAACAGAAAGATTAGCTCACTTGGAAAAACTTAGCTGACTGTAAAAAAATAAGACTCCAAGCCTTACTGACTGTAAGGAACGTATTTGCACATGAAAGGTACAGTGTTTCTGGCTGCTATAATGAACTGTGTTTTCAGTGCTCTAAGGACACCATCAGAGTCAGAAGATAAGCATCATTTCTTAAATTAGGCTCCAGGTATTCAGAGGATTCTGGGGACTGGTCAGTATTTAGTCAATATAAATAACATTTTTTGCTGCTTAATATGACTGGAAGTGAGAAGGGTACAATGGTTAATTTGCTTTTGTATTAGCTATGAATTTATAGCTCACAGTTAGTGCAGGGCAAATTTCTCTCCATAGCTTGCTCTTTTACATGGTTCTGTGGGATTTCAGTCCTGTGTCTCAGAAACCACTTGCTGACTTGACCCAAAGCCTACTCTTCAGAGAGAAATAGCAGCTCACAAGGAAAATGAAAGAAGTTGTAATGGTCCCTATGGGTTTGGAAAGACAGAGGCTGGGCAGACCTTGCGGGATTCCAGCCTCCTGAGCTGTAGAAAAACTGTGATTCTGGCACTGCCAGTCACTTCATGCATCTTGATGTCCAGGGAGTAGTGACAAAAGGGGAGATGAGACATGCTGAAATAAAATGTTCTCTCATTTGTGCAGAAAAACAGTGTTAGCGTGATAGTGGCCAAGGATCCACTGAGACAGGTCTTGTGTAAACACGTGGAACGCAAAATCTCTGTTTACTTAGGTCCATAACACCAAGTTAATTTGACATCTTCATATTATTGATAAACATACACACTTTAATGACATGTTTTTGCAGTGGAGGAGCTAGCATTCTAAGTGAGGTGGACGTCAAAGAGAGGAAGACGTTGGAAACTAAGGAACACGAATCAGGCAGAAACGGAAGGTCCAGAGGAAAAGCAAAGACTGGATATCTGAAAGGTTGTACCAGCTTGAGCAGACAAAGATGAATACAAGCCAGCAGTACAGTTAAACCAGTTTAAAATAAGTATGGTCAAGTCTTAGACTGGAATGGGTGCAGAAACTGAGAAGGGTTCCCCTACTGCTGTTACAACGACTTAGAGGTGGGGAAAAAACGGTGTGATGAATGCAAGAGGACTTGAATGCCCTGACCTGCACCACTGGTTGACCTTCTGGTGAGGGGTCTGGTGAATGTGGGTGTTTCCATTATTTATCCCAGTGGAACTCTCATATTCTTCCCCATTGAATGGAAAGGGTGTGTACTCCATCTGTGGATGGAAAGATCCCCAGGCAATGCTGTGAATAGAAGCTGTTGAGTTTTCATTGTGAAAGGCTGAGAAATATGTTGCTGTGTGTATAGCAATTTGAATCTCTGTCCACAAAGGAAGGTCTGGCCCTAAATAAATGGGAGCAGGTGAAGAGAGAGCAAAGAAGTGTAGAACAGCAGTACTGCAAAAGGTGGCCAGGTTACCTCTAAAGAGCAACAGAAATACAATCTTTAAATCTACTATTGCATACACATTCCATGAGTGAGTGCAAGTCCATCCATGCTCCCAAGAGTTTTGCATGTATGTGTTGTAGTTACTCCTTAATTTCCGTGTTCTAACCTCAAAACAGAGGATTTGGTCGCACTTTGTTAAAAATTCCTGTGAAGACTCACTATCTTCAGCGGGAATTTGACAGGCTCCCAGCAGAGACTGGTTCTTCTTTCTTACTATTTTTAGAGACAGCTGTAAAGCTGTAGTCAAGAATTGCTTAGGTAATATTTTAAGAAATGACAGCGAAGCACAATGGCATATTTTGACCTTTGGCATTAGATAAGTAATTGGCAGATTAAGTTAATTTTTATTCAAGCGGGGAGCCTTGCTTTTTGCTTGCTTGTGGACTCCTGTACCATCATACAAGATCAAATCACACGGATACGTTTTAAAAAGAGGTTTGGGGTTGCTGTCCTTTCTTTTCCATTTGGTGGAGGAAGACCTCTCTTCTGTTCTCTGTAAATGACAAGTAGTGCATGGTACGTACTCATGTGTGTGTGTGCGTGCATGAGAAGAGGAGAGAATTTTTAATTTCGTGACTGACATTGTAGTAGAGTTACAAATAATTTGAAAACTAACCCAGAAAACATCTTTGTTACTGTGCAGTTGAGGAGCCAGTTTCAAGACCTATGACTCAGTGTAAGTCCTCCAGTGAATTTTCCCTTTTTCTTTTCAGACACTGGGTTATGGGCAAGTCAGAAAGCCAGATGGATATAACTGAAATGAATACTCCAAACCCAGTTAAGAAACTGCGATGGAGTCGCCTGGAAATAGGGCTAGCTGTTGTAGTGGTTCTGCTAGCTATTGTAGCGATCACAATGATAGTTCTGTATGCAACATATGACGGTGAGTACACTTAAACTGTCTTTGAATGTACAAATACATATGAATATAAAAGTATTTTAAGAAATTACAAAAAAAAGCTTTAATAAATAGAATCCAGTTGTTAGTATATAGTAAAGAAAAAATGGAAGTTGCATTATATTAAAATGTTGTATTAGAAAAGACTGTGTTGCATAGTATATATAGCTGCACTACATAAAACATTAAGAAAATAAAATAATGAGGTCAGCTCAGAATTATTTGCCCAATAATAGAAAATTGTACCTTACCCAGTGTATAAAATTAGATGATTAATAGCTGCTACATCATAACGATATTTCATATGTATGTCACTAGACAGTATGACACAATTATCTGAAATGTAAAGCTGCATCCACACTTACTATTGCTGGACACTGACACAAAACTGATTTTTTCCACCAGGGACACTGTCAGTTCATTGGTTTACGCAAAACTGTGGTAAACACTAAATACCTGCTTGGTCTGACTTAGCAATACTTCTGTTTGTAATTAATGCTTCAGTAAGCAAAAAACTACGAAATACAACACTGCTGAAGAAAACCAACCTACAGTGCTCCCTCCATATTCTTGTATATGTACGAAAATCCTATTTATTCCTTTTACAGGGTGTTGCAGCAAGGACTCTCAGTGAGTGTTGTCATACTAGGAGGTTTTGTGATTCAGCAGTCATACCAAAACATTTGAAAATAATTCCGTTCAGGGGCAAATACCCTGATAATTTTTGGAAAAGATAATACAGAGAAGCTAAAATTTCCATTTGGGGTCAAACTAGAATGTTTTCTTATATTGGAAATGAAATGCTTTGTTTCATTTTAAATAACTTAATAGTTTTGTTTAAAGTTTTTATTATAGTCTAGTTCAGTTATGGAATGGAAAAATGCCATTCTGAAATGAAAAATAAAAAAAATGCTTAAAGTCTCAAAAGGACACATTTTCATGTTCCTGAACCTTGTATTTTGTTTAGAAGACTTCAGAGTGAATGTCTCAGAATTTTCATATAATTCCTCCAAAATCTTCTTGTCATTGTAAGGTATTGATAAATACAAACTGACTTTGCAACTGTCTTCAGTCCATGTGCTATTTTTCTCTAAATTTCTTGTCTGTTATAAAAATAATATTTTGCCCACCTCTGATTGATTGATAGGACATTTTCCTCTGATGACTACAAAAATTGCACATGATGAGTGACTAGCACTGAATGACCCTAAATGGATGAAGATGACACTATTTTTAGAGCCTGATCCTATAAATATTCACTTCCTGAGTTTAAGGTGTCCATTCATCTTTATCTTACTGTACACTGCAACTAAATGCAATGCTAAAGTGACTGTCAATGAAAATAATACTTGCAGTAGGTTTTATTATATTGACATTCGGTAAAGAATTAAGAGTATGATTGTATTCTCTTTTAGATGGGGTTTGCAAAACATCAGACTGTATACAATCAGGTAAGAATGAAAATATGTACCTTTTAAATAAATTTATATATTTTTAAACAAAATTACCACCATGTAATGCTCCCATCTAACTGCAGACAAATACGGCACATTGAGGCATGGGATCTGCTAACCCAAATAATTTTCTTAGCAGAGTCCTTCTACAAATGTAAAATCTTGTGATGTGATATTGTCAGAGCTTACAAAGTCATCAGGGTCTGGCTAGTTTAAAACTTAGAAACAGACTGTCCAAAGAATGCCTCCAGCTTCAAGAAATGCTTTAAGTGAATCAGAGGATGGCTCTTCCCCACACCACCTCTAAGTCAGAATCCAGACAGAAGCTATGTCTCCAAAGAAGGTACATTAAAAGAAAGTCTTGATCATTGATAGCCATTAAAGATGCCATGCTACTGTTTGAGGAGATGCAATATTAATCAGGAGATGCAATACTAATCTTCATGTCCAGAAAAAATTCCAAATTTTATAGTCTGAAAAGCTAACTTCATCCTTCAGTCACACCTGCATAAAAAATTCTTAGTTTACAACCTGGTCTAAACTCTACTAGAAGGCTACTAAAATGCACCAGAGAAATGCAGAGTTCCATACTATATATCCTCTAGTAGCAAAGTGGTAGTTGTCCACACTCTCCCTTTCCCCTCACCTATAACTCTCTTATCCTTTCTGTTTTCTCCTCTGGATCCATTAATGCTCGTTTCCTTCCCCCCC